CGTGATCGTGGATATCGTCGTCAGCATCATCATAACCATCACGATCACCATCACCATCACCATCATCATCATCATCATCATCATCATCATCATCATCATCATCAGCATCATCATCATCATCATCATCATCATCATCATCATCATCATCATCATCATCATCATCATCATCATCATCACCTTTGTCATCATCACCTTTGTCATCATCATCGTCATCATCAGCATCTTGTGGGGCTTCCAGGAAAGTACTTGAGGGCCCATTCGAGTCCTGCTTGACAGGCGCTTTTGGACAGATGTTGCGTGCGAGAGGGGAAGCCTGAGGAATCATGCTATCGGAGAGCTTTCTGGTAACATGATGGCGCGTATGGGGGCCCATTTGGGGGCTGCCCGACAAGCATTTTGGGACGCATGGTTGGGGCCGGGGGCGGGAGCCTGAGGAATCGTGTTCCCGGAAAGCTTCCTGGGAACATGATTTGGTGGGGTGTCGTTGGGCGCCTCCGGAAGCTTCGGGGCCTGACGCGTTTCCGAGCGTGGCGGCAGGTAGCGCTGCTTGGGACCCTCGGTTTTTGTTTTTCCCTGGCAGGCGTTTAGGGAACATGGTTTGGGCAGTGGGCGACAACCCGAGAATCATGTTCCCAGGAAGCTTTCAGGGAGCATGATCTGTTCGGCGCTCTTAAGAGCGGGGCCTCTGGGGGCTTACCGAGGGGCCCCTTTTGGCCTTGTCGGCAAGCCTGTTGGAAACATGGTTGGGCGCTGGGCGGAAGCCCAAGAAATCATGGTCCCAGAAAGCTGTCTGGGAAGTACGATTTACCGAGGTGTCTTGGCGACCCGCAGGGGGCTTCCTTGGGGGCGCCTTGGGGGCCTATTGGGGCTTCCGGGGGGCCTCTTGGGAGCCTCACGGGGCTTCTTGGGAGCCTCTTGATGGCCTCCAGGGGCGTCCTAGGAGCCTCTCAGGCCAGAGTTCTTGAAATGTCGCACTCTTCGGGCCCTCTTGGGTCGCTCTTGGGCCTCTGTTGGGGCGCTCTCGAGGCCCTCTTGAATTATCTGGGGAGCCTCCTGGGCTGTCTCTCGGCTTTCTTGGGAGCCTCTTCGGCCGTCTTGGAGCGATCTGAAGGGTCTCTGACGCCGTCGGGGACTGTGGGGAGGCAGAACATGCGAGAGCGCAAATATGCTTCAAAAACCATCGGACAATTTTGATGTTCGGCTTCTGGGGCCCTTGGGAGGGGCCTCTGGAGGCGCTCTTGGGGCGTTTTGGCGGCGTCGTCGGCCGTCCTGAGGCCATCTTCGGCGTGTCCGGGGCCTCTTGGGGCTGTCTTGGCAATATTTAGGGCCCTCTTGACGTGTCGTGGCGTGTTTGGGAGCGGGCCCGGGCAGTCCCGGGACCCCTGGGATTCCCCCAATATCCCCATGGGGGGGTACGGCACCGGCCCAGGCCCCCCCCCGGCCTACTCCGATATGTGTATATAGATAGATAGATAGATAGATAGATAGATAGATAGATAGATAGATAGATAGATAGATAGATAGATAGATAGATAGATAGATAGATAGATAGATAGATAGATAGATAGATATATAGATAGATAGATAGATAGATAGATAGATATATATATAGATAGATAGATAGATAGATCGATAGATATATAGATAGATAGATAGATAGATAGATAGATAGATAGATAGATAGATAGATAGATAGATAGATACATACATCTATATATATATATATAAAACAGATGGCACAAAGCCCAAACTGGCCTCTAAAGCAAGGCCCAGGATGGCTCTGAGGAAACACGCCGAGCCTGCCAGGGATACCCTCAGGAGGAATCCAGACTTGGGACACATGTTGCAGTGCTCATCCCAAGCCCCCTGGTCCAATCATCCTTCCTTGGAGCAGGGACCGACCGTCCTGGCATTCCTGTAGGCTTACCGCGAAATTATCCAAGAACAAGCGAATGCTCTGCGCTCAAAAAGAGCCTGTTCTTAGAACACATCGGCGATGTGTCAAATCAAGACTGTCTCAGCCAGGAATGTTCTTACAACCTTTCGCACAAGCCACAAAGAATTCTCAGCACACTCTTGGGTGGGCCTACACAGGCAGGTCGGGACGCTTGGCCACTGTTTGTCGGCGGCGGACCTGAGGGGGAAGTGAGACGGGGCGGGCCTTGTCAGAAGGCTCGGAAGTCGCCCGGCCTTCTGAGAAGTTTTCTAAGCCTTCCCCGAAGACACAGGAAACTTCTCAGGAGGCGCGAGGGTTCCTGAGAAGCCCCGCCGCCGTCTGAGAGAGGGCCTTCTCCTTTTCACTCCCCCCCCTCGCTTGCCGCCAACAGACCCCCTCGCGCCGTCAGGAAGGGATTGATGTCATGATAGAGTTGGCTCAAGATGCGCTTCAGGATTTCCAGAGCACCTGGCGGCCCCTCGTTCCTGCAGCCCCTGCGGAACATCAGGAAATCTGGGAGATCTCCGAACTTTAGAAACTATCGTTCTCATGAACTCTGGCTCCTCCGAGTCTTGAAACAAAAACACGGCGAACAAGGTTTCCCTGTTTGGGGTGTCCATGGGGCCCTTGCCAGACCTCGGGGCCGTCAGAAAAACGGCTCGGGATGAAAAGCTGATTCCCACGAAGTGGTTCAGAACTTTAAAAAAAAGCATGACGACGGGGGCTTGGTCCCTACCCATCCGACCGACGTCGTGATTTGACCACAAAGTGGCCTTCTCAAGGCCTGGACACCTTCCCTGGGACCAGCAGTTCATCCTGACTCGCCTATTGACGGTCAAGGGGCCCGTTGGGGGCCAACGGACACGGAAAATTGCTGAAAGACTCCCGTCATGACTTCCTCACTCCTCACGACACGAGGATGCCAGGGTCCTCCTCCTCTCCTCCTCCTTTTCCTCCTCTTCCTCCTCCGCCTCCTCCTCCTCCTCCTCCTCATCCTCCGTCTCCGTCTTCGTCTCTGTCTCCGTCTCCGTCTCCGCCTCCATCTCCGTCTCCGTCTCCGAATCCGTCTGCGACTCCGACTCCGCTTCCGTCTCCGTCTCCTCTTCCTCCTCCTCCTCCTCTTCCTCCTCTACCTCCTCCTCCTCCTCCTCCCCCTCCTCCTCCTCCTCCTCCTCCTCCTCCTCCTCCTCCTCCTCCTCCTCCTCCTCCTCCTCCCCTGTGTAGGAATGTGGCGCCCTCGTCTGCCCACCAGCCCGATGGCGCAGAGGGGCCCACAGGGTGCCGCCCGCCTGCCGGCGTTGAAGTCCAGGAAGCTCCTGTGCTCCTCGTACCTGTCGCTGAATATGACGACGTACGTCGACTCCGTCCTGGTCGAAGGCAGAAGGAGGAGAAGGAGAAGGAGGAGGAGAAGCAGGACGAGGAAATAATTAGTAGTAGTAGTAGAATGAGGAAGAGGACGGGGAAAGGGAGGAGAAGGAGGAGGACGAGAAAAGGAGGAGAAGGAGGAAAGGAAGCGGGGGAGGAGGAATTGGCGGAGGAGGAGGCGGAGGAGGAGGAGGAGGAGGAGGAGGAGGAGGAGGAGGATAGGAGGAGGAGGAGGAGGAGGAGGAGGAGGAGGAGGAGGAGGTAAAGGACGAGGAACAGAGGAGGAGGAAGGGACAAGGATGACGCGAAAAGGAGGAAGGAGGAGGAGGAGGAGGAGGGAGGGAAAGGGAGAGGAGGAGGGGGAGGAGGAGGAGGAGGAGGAGGAGGAGGAGGAGGAGGAGGAGAAGGAGGAGGAGGAGGAGGACGAGAACGAGGACGAGGAGGAGGAGGAGGAGTCGGAAGAGGAGCAGGAGGAAGAGAGGGGGAAAGCGGAGGAGGAGGAAGAGGAACAAGAGGGGGAAGAAACAGGAAGAGGAGGACATGGAGGAGGAGGAAGATGATGAGGAGGAGGAAGAGGAGGGGGAGGAGGAAGAGGAGGAGGAGGAGGAGGACGAGGAGGAGAAGGAGGAGGAGGAGCAGGAGGAGGAGGATAGGAAGAGGAGGAGGAGGAGGAGGAGGCGGAGGAGGAGGAGGAAGAGGAGGAGGAGGAACAGGAGGAGGAGAAGGACGAGGACAAGGACGAGGAGGAAGAGGAGGAGGAGGAGGAGGAGGAGGAGGAGGAAGAGGAGGCGGAGAAGCAGGAAGAGGAAAAGGAGGGGGAGGAACAGGAGGAGGAGGACTTCCAAAGTGCCTTCGGCGCGCGCGAGCGTGCACGGCACATTCTGTTCGGCGCCGCCTTTGCGCGGTGCCGCCGTCAAACCGCAAATTTCCGAAACGGTGCCGGGGCAGACCGCGCAGTGATCTCCAGATCCCAAGGGGCCTCACCGCGCCGTCCCTCGCCGCACGGTGTTGGAACTCTGGAGGCCCCAGTCGCCTAAGGCATCCCCGGAGAGCGGCCCGAATCTTGCAACTGTGCGGCCGCCCCGAATTCCCAATGGTTCGCCGCCTGGTGTGGATACCGCACCATTCGGAAATCCCCGAAAACGGGGGGTCGGGGCAGAACAGGACCGGGACATCGAACGATAGGCAAGGGAATGGCAAGAAGAGGAAACATGACACTCCAGAGCAGAGACCAGGATATGCCCTGCTCACGGCAGGACACGGAATATTAGAATAGCAATTCGGAGAAAGAGGGCGGGGGAGGCGAGGGAGAGCTTTGTGGAAGGAAAAGAGCGCGAGAAAACAGAGGGAAGGAGAAACACGAAACGAGTTGAGAACACGACAAAAAAAGAGGGTGGAGAAAGAGAGAGAGAGAGGTAAGCAAAGATGAGGAGGAGGAGGAAATATCGAGGAAAAGGGGATCTATGATGATAATGAAGAACAGTGAGAGAGGAGAGGAGAACGAGGAGGAGGAGGAGGAGGAGGAGACTGGTAAAATATGTGCGAAAAGAGAAACATGTTTCCGTGAACGATTTGGAAATGGAGCCAGCATGTCAGAGCGAGAATAATGCTGGCACGGAACGCTGCAGGCTGAACGGCAGCGGAAAGAAACACAGCACAGGAACAAGCACAGGCAGGGATAGAGTGAGACCAGCTGTGCACAAAAACGTACTTTTCGAGTCCCGTACTCAAACAAGTCCGCCGTGCCTTGGGTGAGTGTTCTACTGACCGCACTCGCGACGAAATTTCCTGCGATGAGCGCTCTGCTGATCGCGCTCATGAAGCATGCCTGACACTGCGTGCGAGAGACCATTTGTGAACCGCCTGCAAAAATTGCTGTTGCTGCTCAAGTGACGCAGTCAGCTGGTGCAGCACTCGCTCGAATGCTCAACTCCTCACAGTTATCGACCGATGTTGCCCGCATGACTTCTTCACTGCTGCGTGAGGGAGCTGTGCTGGGAGCTCGGGGCGGCCCTAGTATTCTTCTCATCGCTGAGCTTGACCGTGTCGCGGTCATAACTGATATGACCACCCATCGCGCTGAGGATGAACTCCTGGCCTGTCCTTGATCATGGGGTCGGCCCGCATGTCCCGAATGTCACGCCAGAGTAGGTCCTCAATCCGCTTGGTGCGCAACTGGCCGGCTAACCACCACTGGTGGCCTGCCATGCTGCTCCCGGAAGGCGGCCACACCTGGTCCATAGACCGTCAATAGCGAGATCTGCAGGGATCGCGCAACCTCCTTCTTTCCTCAGCCTCCTGATTTCCTCGGCGGAGGCGGGGCCGTGCACGATCTCGCGCAGCGCGAGGAGGCGCGCCTGCACTCCGTCAGCTGCGCCGCATGCCGCGAGCAGCTCTGAGCCGAACGAGGATCTGCGCGCCAGCTTGTGCGGTGCGCGAGGGCGAGACTGAGAGCGGATGTCCAGCGGGATGAACGGCTGGACGAAAAGCCGCATGATGTATAACGGCGGAGGGTGGGAGCCGGTGCCATCAACGCAAGGCGAAACATTGCGGCCGTGGTATTGCAGCCGAAACTCCGCCACAAACGGGGGAAATATATACGAGGAAAGAGACATGTTTTTCGTGAGCGGAATGAAAACGAAGACACTCTGGCAAGGCGAGAACAAGGCGGGCACGGAGCGCTGCAGGCTAGACGGCAAGAGAACGAGGGACAGCACAAGCACAGGCAGTGATGAGGAGAGACCAGCTGGGAAGGAAAACGTACCGTTCGATTATGACGAGGGTGACAGGGGAGGAGGATGGATGCAGGGATGCAGGCCGAGAAGCACGATCCACGGAAGGAAGCCGCAGCGGCGTCAGAACAAATCCGTGCCCAAGAGCGGCGTCGAGCCACCCAAGGGGACCTCGCTCCCTGATGAGGCGAGCGGCACAGTCTCGGAGGGGGGCCCATCAATATTTTGTCACCCCTCGGTGCGGCTTTGCATAGGCGGCACACCGAAGGGCCCGACAGGGCCCCGCCCTCACAAAACTCAAGCCAGTAGCCCACCCGTCTTGGGGCGTCGACCCTGCAAAGCGCACTTGACCTGGGTGGCCTGGGAGCTGCGCGTACTGGGGTGAGTTTATCTACCCTTGCACGACTCCTTAAGACCACGACAGGCCCCGTCAGGCACCACAGAGAAGGCGCTACAGGAGGAACAACACATCATGCGGCGGCGCTGCTGCACAACATGGCCAAGCACCGTGAAATGTGAGAAGGCGTCGGCCTCGGGCGGCGCAAAGGCAGGCACGGACCCCAGGACCTCAGCCGCTGAAGCTGGATCCCCCGGCAGTAGGCACGATGCTTGGCATGAGTTGACCTCTCAAAGTGGCAAAGGCAGGAGGAAGAGGAGGGGGGAGAGGAGGAGGAGGAGGAGGAGGAGGAGGAGGAAAAGGAGGAGGAGGAGGAGGAGGAGGAGGAGGGGAAGGGAGCTGGGAAGAGAGAGCGGGGGGGGGGGGGCAGGAAGAGAAGGGAGGAGCAGATGGAGGGGGCGGAGGCGGAAGCATAATGAGGGGGGGAGGAGGAGGAAAAGGAAAAGGAGAAGGAAAAGGAGGAGGAGGAGGAAGACTGAACGGAGGAGGAGGAAGAGGATGATGAGGAGGAAGAACGGCACATGCTTTAGCATAACATCTGAGCAAAGGACGAAGGAGGAGGAGGAAGAGGAGGAGAAGGAGGGAGAGGAGGAGGAGGAATGGGAGGAGGAGGAGGAGGAGGACGAGGAGGAAGAGGAGCAAGAGGAGGGTGAGGATGCAGGATGAAAGGAGGATGAGGATGAGGAGGAGGAGGAGGACGAGCAGGAGGAGAAAAAGGAAGAAAAAAAAAGAGGAGGAAGAGGAGGAGAAGGACGAGGAACAGGGAGGAGGAGGAGGAGGAGGAACAAGGAGGAGAGGGAGGGGATGAGGAGGGGGACTCCTGGCGCCGGGCGCACCCACCTCGAGGAGGCCCTTGTGCACGCAAGGGGCTTCCGTGGACGGCCCGGCGCCCTGGCCGCGCCCGCCGGCACCGCGGCCCCGTCCGCGCCCTCCTCCTCCTCCTCCTCGTCCTCCTCCTCCTCTTCCTCCTCCTCCTCCGCCTCCTCCTCACCCTGTTCCTCCTCCTGTTCCCCCTCCTCCTCGTCCTCCTGCTCTCCGCGCCCTCTTCCTTCTCCTCCTCCTGCTCCTCTTCCTCCTCCTCCTCCTCCTCCTCATCCTCCTCCTCCTCCTCCTCCTCCTCCTCCTCCTCCTCATCATCATAATCATAATCATCTTCATCATCATCAGCCTTCGCCCATTATTCCTCCTTCTCCTCCTCCATTCCTTCTCCTTGTGGATAACTCCTCTCTGTCGAACCCCGAGGCTGGTCGAAAGAGCGGGCCGGGCGTTTCGCTTGAGACTTCCGCACCACTTATGACCCTGATGCTAAACATTGACCACAGTTTCACAAATGGAGGACGGGCTGTTTTCAAAATGCGGCTCTCGCCTTAGCCCCACGCACACTCGATCTGAACAGTTACATTAGTTGCACGGATTGAGGGCAATTCCCTTTCGCCTGAGCACCGTGCACATTCAATTGAAACATGTGCAACAGTTTCACAGACTGATGGCGGGTGGTTTTCAATATGTGGTTCTCGCCCCAGCGCCGCGCCCAATCGTTTTTAAGACGTTGCAAGCATTTCACGGATTGAGGGCAGGTCGTTTTCAACATGTGGCTCTGGCCTTGGCGCCGCGCACATTCTTTCCAAAACTGTCCACGAGCTTTACGGGTTGAGGGCGGGTTGTTTTCAACATGTGGCTCTCGCCCTTGCGCTGCGCACGTTCGTTCTAAAATTCGCCAGGGTTTCGCGGATTGATGGCAACACCTTTTCAAAATGTGGACCTCGCTTGAGCGTCGCGCACATTCGTTTCCAAACTTTGCAGGAGCGTCACCGATTGAGAACGGGTCGCTTTCAACATGTGGCTCTCGCCTGAGCGACGCGCACACTCGTTTGAGACGCGTGCAAAAGCTTCACGGATTGAGGGCGGGTGGCATTCAAAATGCGAGTTTCTCGCCTCAGCGCCTCGACCAATCCTTTTGAACGATTGTAAGAGCTTCACGGACTGAGGGCAGGTCGTTTTCAAAATGTGGCTATCGCCTCGGCGCCGCGCACATTCGTTCCAAAACTGTCCACGAATTCCGAGAACGGGGGATTCTGGGGTGGCGCTCGTCGCCCTGCCTGCAGACTCAGCCACCCGAGAACGGGGGATTCTCAAGTAGCGGTCTGGAGGCCAACTCGCGGCACGCTTGATTGGTTGAATCACATTGGAGGGCACTGATTGTTTGAGCGTGCTGGCGCTCTACGCTTGAGCTCAGCAAGAGTGCTGAACCACGCGTGCTGGCACGGAGCTCAACATGCAGGCTGAAAACGCAGGCCTGACGCGATGCCTTCGCCAACACGGGGGCCGATACGCTGAGCCAACACGCGCGCAGTGACGCGGACGTTTTGAGCACGCCACGTCTTGCGCATCCTGATGGGCGCCTCGAGGCAGCCGAGAGGAGGGGGCGGAGGCGGAAGAAGGAACCAGCTCCTCCTATAGACTTGCGGATGCCATAACAATGGGCACCATAACAATCCGATCGTTGAATAGAACATGTGATCAACATGTCGCAAACTAATCTAAAACATGATTTAAACCTGTTATTCTATATGTTTAGGACATGCTTACAACAATGTTAGACATCCGGCAACTATTGACAACATGCCTCCTCTCCATTGATCGCCGTCCACAACTATGCTGCTCCCATCGCACTTGCGGACCACACCCCAGAAATAGTTTCGAGCACCCGGAAAAGTGTCGAAGGAGTGTCGAAACAGTGTCGGACGAGTGCCTCCCAGGGCCCGACGCGTGAACACCCTCGAGTTTCGGTACTTGTCTGGTGCTCGGAATTCTTTCTGGCGAACAAGGCTGAAGTTGGTTGACGCATCATAAATCCACAACTCCTGGCCGCCGCCCCCGCGGAGGAGGAGGAGGCGGAGGAGGAGGAGGAGGAGGAGGAGGAAGAGAAAGAGGAGGAGGAGGAGGAGGAGGAGGAGGAGAAGGAGGAGAAGGAGGAGGGAGGAGGAGGGAGGAGGAGGAGGAGGAGGATGAGGGAGGAGGAGGAGGAGGAGGAGGAGGAGGAGGGAGGAGGAGGAGGAGGAGGAGGAGGAGGAGGTAGCAGGAGGAGGAGGAGGGGCCCCCCCGCCCCCAGCATGGCCTCCTGGCCGCCCTGCGCGCCCCACGGCCGCCACGGCTCCACGGCGGGCGCCCCGTCGTGCCCGGGGTGCCCCTGCGCCTGCGGGGGGGAGGCGGACCGCGAGCGGGGAGGCGGCGGATCCCGTGCGAGAAGCCTGCCGGACGAGGAGGCCCTGAGCATTCTGTCAGGGCGGAGGGCTCGGGGTGAAGTCCATAGGGGCTCTCGCACCTCGAAGCTCGAGCCGTCTTGTGATGCCCCTTTTTGCAGACTCAGGCGTCGAAGATCCATCGAAACGGCACTTCAGATTTCACCCTGTACCCTCCACCCAAAGAAAATGGCCGGAGGACAACGAGGCGGACAAGGAGGAGGACCAGGAGGCGGCGCGCGCGGGGAGGAGGCGGACAACGAGGCGGACAAGGAGGAGGCGCGCGCGGGGAGGAGGCGGACAGCGAAAAGCCCATACCTCGCAAGTACCAACAACAAGACTCAACAAGAGGCAGAGACATATAGACTTTCGGCGTGCCGCGCGGACTCCTTGGATCGGCAAGCTGGAACCCGGTCGGCGTGTCCCTGCGCCGCTCGTGTCGGAGAGCCTGGCGCTCCTTCGCCGGTGGCACACAGATGAGTTCCCCACGGCGGCGCACCACTTTCTTATGGCTTGAGAGTTCAGTCGCAGCGTAGGAAGGCTTTGTTGGGGGCGATGGGTTTTGATGGCCTCGCGGACGTCTATTTTCCATGGCCTGTTCTTCGGCCCACGGTGGGATCGCCGAAGCCCGGATCGCCAGATTTTTCGGCATCGAGGCTGCGAAAAAATGTGATCATCCCATGCACGGGCCCCATCGGGCCGACGACGTTTCGGCATCGTTGCTTGATGGCCTGAGGGATGGGCCCCCGAAGGGGCCGCGGCGCGGCGGCGCGGCGGGCAGGGGGCGCAGGCCGTCCCGCGGCTGTGGTGCAACATGTGTGGTGTGATCTGCGGGGTGCAGACTCCGGGATGCCATCTCTCTGTGGTGCAGCCTGCGTGGCGCAGTCTGTGTGGCGCAGCCTGCCTGGTGCAGTCTGCGTGGCGCAGCCCATGTGGTGCGAGCGATGTCGTGCGATCTACGCGGCGACATCTACAAGGTGCCGCCTGCGTTGTGCCATGTATGGGGCGCGGGCGCAGTCAGTGCGCGAGGCGGCCACGGGCGGCGACTGGCCGAACACCCAGGAAAACCCGACAGCCCACGAAGGTTCAGCCAACTCACGCGACGGCCAAAAGGAGGGCCACGGGTGGCGATTGGGCGAAAAACCAAAAAACAACCAGCGCACGAGGCGGCCACAAAGCGGCCACGCACGGCGACTGGACGCAATCATGAGGCGGCCACGAACGGCGACCATGCTAAATTTTGAAAATCACATCAAGTACCAATAGGGATACGTGCCAACCAGCGTGGGCCCCCAAACATGTGTCGATCAGTCTATGTGCTACAACCTATTTGGTGCAACTCACTTGTGGAGTTCGCAGTTCGCAACTCCACTGCTCGCGCAATCATCACAACCACCCACCCGCAACTTGTTTTGCAAAACGCATGCGGCGACCACTGCGATGAAGGCTTGGTGTTGACTGGTGCATCTCTGCGGCCGCGCTAGCCCGCGCATGCTCGCGCGCGCAGCGGCAAGATAGTCTGGTGCGACCGAGGCGGCTGCGGTGGCGCTGACCGCTGGGCACTTCCCAACGGGCACTTCAGTGCGAGTCGGCCAGTTGGGCGGGCGCGATATCATAGCAACGTCAACAACGGTAGACACGATGATGGTAATAGCGACGCTGGTGACGATGATGAGAACAACGGCGACGGCACGGCCAGTGACGGCGCCGATGCTGATCATGCCGACGACGATGACGGCGTCCTCGCGTCGGTGAAGGTTTTGAGAGGAGTTCGACATGCGCGCGCGGCCGACCCCCAAGAGGCTCCAAGAGGCTCCCCGAAGCACCCGAGACGCTCCAAGAGGCCCCCGGGACCGCCAAGAGGCCCCCAAGACGCAAAAGAGGCCCAAGAGAGCACCAATACGGCCTCATGAGCGCCCAAGAGTCCCAAGAGCGCTCCAAGAGGGACCATTCCTCTGTGTGCTGCTCACCACCCTGATCGAGGCAACTCCTCTGGGCATCGTCTCTGGATGGGCGGGTGGGGTTACGCGAAGCTTCTAGACTTTAGTGGCAGTGTTGGGAAGCCGATGGTTTTCGTAAGAATTCTCAGGAGCGCGAGCTTAAGCATTTTTGAAAACTTCTGGTGCAAAGCCATATGTTTCACTTTGTTTTCAGGACGCTCGATTTTGAAACCCTTACGAACACTAAGGTTCTGGAAAGATGTTGGTATGCGCGCGTGACGACACGCGCGCGCACTTCGTCCCATTTGCTGCACGGCATCCTTGTGACAGCACGCGCGCAAAGGCACTCGAGCGATTCCGACATGCGCGCGAGGGAGGCCCGCTTGGTGGCAGTTCATGAACATGTGTGAAAAGCGATGGTTTTCTAAAACTCCCGCAAGAGTCCGAGCGCAAGCTGACTTTGGGAAATCTCGCTGTGAAGCCACTTGTGTTTATATGTTCCCGGGGCACACGATTTTGAAATCCTTACGAAACCTAAGGTTGTTGACGGATTTCGGCATTGCGCGCGCGACGACGAGCGCGCGTGCACTCCGTCCATGCGATTGCAGAGAAAGTTCTTGGACATATATGATTTGTGATAAACGACTGCGCGCGCATACTTTCTTTTGCAGAGGATGAAGGGGGAGGGGCGACAACCGGCCTGCCTGGGATGGTGCGAGCTCATCGGGAGGATGGAATCATATGTAAAGTGCAGCACGAAAAAGCGAACCGTTACTTCCAGGGGGGACTAACATGTTTTATGTCGGCGATTGGGGGTCGATGCCTGCCCCCCTTAGCCTATTCCCCCCCGAGCGCTGTCCCTAAAACCCAGCTGCAGGGGAAAAGGGGGGCTCTTTGCGGTGCGGCGCTGATCTGCGTGCGGGTAAATAGGCACAGCCCTGTCTGGGCCGGGTGGGGCCCACGGGCTCCCAACCTCGGAGGCCCGTGCTGGTGAACACGTCGGGGAGCGGAACAAATGACGAGGAGGACGGGGACGACGACGAGGGCTGGCATGAGGGAAACGCCCAGGTCCCCGGGGCTTTCCCCTGAGCCAGCTCTGCGTCCCTGGTGGTTCTTGAACGGCTGCGTGGCACGGGGGGCGACCCCGTGAGCCGAGATCCCCCTGGACGTGTCCCCGGGGTGCGTTTTGACGCAGCTGGCGAGGGGACTCGCACCACAGAGGCCCAGAGAGTGCGAGAAGCGCCTGAGAGCCTCGCTTTCTGAGGAGGAGGACGCGACGAAGAGGATGACGACGAAGACGACGACGACGACGAGAAGGACGAGACGACGAAGACGAAGACGAAAACGACGGCAACGACGACGAGAAAAACGAGGACGAGGACGAGGACGAGGACGAGGACGAGGACGAGGACGAGGACGACGACGACATCGACGAAGACGAAAAGGACGGCGACGGCGACGAGGAGGACCACGACGACGAGGACTGCGACGAGGAGGAGGAGGAGGAGGAGGAGGAGGAGGAGGAGGAGGAGGAGGAGGAGGAGGAGGAGGAGGAGGAGAAGCAGGACAACGACGACAAGGAGGAGAAGGAGGAGGAGCAGGAGGACGCCGACGAGGGGAGGACGACACCGACGAGGCAGGCGAGGGGACGAGGCAGGGGAGCGCGGGCGGGTGCTGTGTGCGCGTGGGCGCCCCGAGGCTGCGCGACATGGTCTCGGCCCAGGCGTCCAGCTCCTTGCCCGTCGGGCCTCCCCGCCGGCGCCGAGGGCACGCGGGGCGCGCGGGGGGGCGCAGGCGCGGCGGGCCCTCGCGGACGTCCACTCCCTGTGTTTTTGTCGGTCTCGTGCGTGGCTTCCTTTGTCGCCAAAGGATCAAGGATGCTCCTCGATGGTCCTCGCCGAGGAAAAAAATGCACACGTCCGAGCGATGCCAGGCCCCACGGGGCCTGGCCCTTGGGCCACCCTGGGCCCTGGCGCGCGCGCGCGCCCTCCCCAAGCGCCTTTGGCGTCGCAGCGCGGCAGGGGCGATCCGCTCGCGCGCTCTGGTGGTCCCCGGGGCGCGTGGCGCACCAATGCCACCAGCCCTCTGGGCGCAGAGTTCTGTCTTCGCTCTGCCCAAAATCCCCCCATTCCCCTGCGCAGGGGAGCATCGCCAAGGCTCGCTGACCGCCGCCCCAGGGAGCGGTCGGGCGGGCGTCCACCACCCGGTCACGGGGGGGGGGCCCGCAGCGATATGCGCCGTCCCCAGGCGCCACCGTGGGGCAGGACTTGGAGAAGTATCTGCCAGACGGTTCCCCAGGCAAAGACGTGGGACCAGGCGGCTGATCGCGGCAAATTCAGGGAACAAGAAGGAATGGGAGCGGCAACTGATCGCCGCAAATGCATAGGAAAAGGATGCAGTGGTTACCCCAGGCAGAGGCGCACCCCAGGCGATGCGCAGCCCCAATCAACGGGAGCAGGCATCGAGGAAGCAGGTTCAGGTGGACCCCAGGCGAGGAAGAGGGAGGGGAGGAGGAGGGCGGGAAGAAACGGAAGCTGATCGCTGCAAATGCAAGAAAGGAATGCCCCAGGCAGGACGTGTGGCAGAACGTGTGGCTGGTGTGGATACTTTTTGTTCGGCGGCTCGAAGGACAGATCCAGCGAGCGGGAATAACGTCTGGGCCACAGAGCGAGATAATTGGCTGCAGAGGCGCATAGGCCGCTGTAGCGAATGCACATGCCAGGGACAAAGTGACCCTCATTGGGGACCGACGCAGGCAGCCCAGCGGATGGGGACGCAAGCACGGTACCGGGAGCGGACGGATAGGAGCAGTCGCACATACGGCGCCAAGCTCCGGCCGAACCACACAGCACGAAAAGGCGTGAAGCACGCCGCACTGTAGCGGCACGGGGTGGCCAAGCGTGGCCAAGCTCCGTCCATGCACAATGTAGGTGAGGCAAGAGGGAACAGGAGAGGCTCAGCGGACGCCAGAAGGGCACCCGGCGGTAGGAAAAGGGGAAAGGCACAGAGGGGAGCCTCACACGCGGTGACTCACTGTCGCAGACGTCAAGTCTGCCGCCCCTGGACGTGAGAGCGACCGGTACCCAGTCAGCGGACCTGACGTCAATGCCGCCTGTGTCCACAGCGTGCAACTTGTCCGACACGGAAGATCGGGGGCGCAAAGTTGCAAGCGCTGGCCGAGGCACCTGAACGAGGGACCAGCCGGGGGGATACTCGAAGCATCAAGAATTAACCGGCAGCAAGAGAGGGAAGGAGGAAGAGGGCGGCCACAGAAAGCAGGCGGGGGAAGCGGGGCACTCAACGCCGAAGAAATTTCAGCAGGAGTCCAGCCTTTGCTGAGGCGACCCTGCATTGGGACCTCCCCAAGCACGCAACGTCCTGAAAAAACGAGACGCAAGGCTTTATCCGTTTTCAAACTCTAGAGGCCCTCGCCGGGCCCCAGGGCGCTTGAAAAACGACCCAGGATGGGAAACGGGCCCTCGGGAAGGGTCCGGATTTCTGGGGCCCGCGTGCTGAGAACAATCAGGGCATCGCATGTCTGGGTCCTGGGCCCGGGCACGTGCGCGCGACAGGTTCGCGTCGCGTCGACCCCGGCGTCGGTCCCTGACACCGCGGGGATCGTTCGAACTTGAACGATCGGCCGTTTCAGGAGCGCCAGCTCGTTCCGCGATGGGGTCGTTGGCGGTCGACACGAGCGCCCGGCCCGCGACACCGAAAGGTGCGTAGGACGCCCGCCTGGCCGGGGCCTGGAGGGTGGATGCGGCAGGTTCGTGCCGTGCCGACCCCGGCTGTCAGTCCCTGACGCCGCGCCGGGGCTCCTTCGACCTTGAACGACCGGCGGTTTCCGAAACGTCAGACGCCCTCCTGGCCGGGGCCTGGAGGGTGGATGCGGCAGGTTCGTGTCGTGCCGATCCCGGCTGTCAGTTCGACGTTGAACGATCGGCCGTTTCCGAAACGTCACATCGTTCAACATCGACCGATCCTGGGTCGCCGGCGGGTTCAAGCTTGACCGCGGGTGACGGGGTCGCCGCCGGTCGACACGACGCGAACCTACCATGCACAATCCTGGGGACCCGACGACCAGCGGACTGGTCTCTTGCCGATCCTAGCGTGTTGGCCCGATTTGGCGGGCAGCGCCTCCGCCTGTGGATGGCGGCGTCTCCTGTGGTGGTCGGTTTCTTGGGCAACGAGCTCGTTTTCTGTCATCCCGAGTGCCTTTCCCGCAACGCCCTGTTGGTATGGTGCGGGGTGCCCCTGGCTCAGGTTCACGCACGAGCGACCCTGGGCAAGAGTGGCCTTTTGTGCGCGCGGCTTGCCATGCGTTGCGCGCGATGCGACAGTGGAGGCCTGCGCGCTTGGGCTTGGGGAAACCAAACGATACCCCTGCTCGGCCTCACGCAAGAACGACCCTGGGCAAGAGTGACATCTGGTGCGAGGCTTTCCGACTGCTGCACGCGATGCGACAATGCCTAGACCGCTGCTCCCCAAAGATCTCCTGGTGTGCGCTCTGACCACAAATTTCCCGCGAATCCAGCTGTGGCGGCAAGGGCCTCCCAGGAGGTCCCCCAAATGCGAGAACGAGTCAAGGGTAGCTACATCGGTGTCTCTTCCTCCGCTGACGGTTTGGCTCTCCCGCGCCCCCCGAAAGCCGCGCACCAAAGGCCACTCTGGCGAGAAGGGTCGCATTGAGCAGGGACCCCCGTCCGAGTCCTCGTATAGGCCTACCACGGGATGTTCTCAGAACAGAGCAGCGTTCTCAGAACGAAGACGCTGCTCTTGCAGCAAGAGAAGGACGTCTCCAAACAAGACAGCCGCAGCCAGGCAAGCTCAAAATAAGCCCTTGCACAAGCGACCAGAAAGGCGATTGGAACGGAACCTGTTTCGGCAGCCTTATGAACAAGCCACGGGCGCCACCCCTCCGACGAGAAGGGCCGCTCGCTACCTTGGGCAGGGCGAGCTGAGACAGCGGCAATTCAACATCTATCCCTGGCTTCCTCTCCGAGGTCCAGATGCATCTGCTGTCCGGGGACCCCCCCGAAGGCCACACACCGTTGCCTCAACCCGCCCTCGTAAGAACCCGAACCGGTCCTCCTTTCGCCGTCGTCGGGGCCTGGACTGGCCCGGCTCAGCGCGAACCAGGCCCAGCCAACGTGTGAAGACACCCCTCTGCAGTGTGATTTGGGGCCCCCCAAACCCGGCTCAACCAACATGTGAGGCCGCCTCCGCGGCCGCGAGCGGCTCCCGACCCCCCCGGCTTGGCCCGACTGCGGCGCTGCAGGATCCTGCAGGATCCCGCGCTCTGGCTGAGCTCCGCTTGCGCTGACGCCCCGCTGCATCTGCCTGCCCAGGCATGCGACGTCGCCCTCCTCTGCCTTACGTATTCGGGAGCGGCCAAGAGGGGGGTGTCCAAGAGGGGGCGGGGTGCAAATCATGACCGGCGGCATGTGCGCGGCCCAGCGGGGGGGCCCGGGACGTAGTTGAATAAAGAAGTCGCCACGACATCTGAGGAAATATCATGACCCCCGCCATGATATCCAACCCCCCCCCTAGTCATCACCCCCCTCTTTGCCGCTCCCGACGCGTCCCCCCCCCCCACCTGTCCCAAGGTGGGAGCCGGGTCGTAACTCGAGCCTCCGGCGGCCGTTCGGGGCGATCCGGGCGCCCCTGGAACGCCCTCGACGGGGCGCAGCTGCTGGCGAGCGTCCCGAGGCTGGAAGCAAAGAAGGGGAACCGACGAGTACGCCCGAACGCGTCGAACCTCGACCCTGTCGCCCCCCCTGCGCCTATCCCCCCCCCCCGCGAAGCGCGCAGCAGCCCCCCCCCCCTCCGAGCAGCGTGATCGGCGCCGCGGCGTTTTGCAGGCAGACATCCAGGCCGTTGTCCAGGACCTGCCAGTGCTGCGAGGGCATGGGCAGAGGGCATCGCGCTCCCCCCCCCCTGGAGGGGCAGCAGCAAAGGCGGCGCGAGGGGGCTCGGAAGTTCCGAGGTTCGGGCGCGGCCTAACCGACCCCTAGCAAACAATCCCCTTCCGTGACGTCCTCCTCGCCGTTCGAGCTCCACTCCAGCCGCACACATCCGTCTCCCGGCGAGGCGAGGAGGACGTCACGGACGCTCCTGAGAAGTTCGAGGTCCAGATTCTTTCGGACGTTCCCTTCCTCGGCGGCGTTCCAGCCTCGGGATGCCCCGCAGCGGCCGCGCCTCGTCGAAATCGCTCTGGGGGCGCTGGGCTCGTCCCCCCCGTGCCTGCCCTGGCGCGTACAGTCGGGGCGTTGACCTGAGGAACCCTAAGTAAGAGGCCCCCTTTTTTCCATAAGTTCAACTTCGATTTCCCATCGAGAACATAGGAAAACCTGAGGCAAGATGTGACACACTCAAGGAACGCGGAGCCCCTCCCCAACGAAAAGGGTTCCTTCTTCAGGGCCCCGACTGTACCAGGGTCCTGCAGCAGCCCCATCACGGATTGCCTGCCAGCCTCATTCTGGCCAGCCTGCCGCGCGACCTGTGGGATTGGACCCGTCGCGCCTCTCGGCGCCCACAGGATTGGGCCCTCGTCTGGAGCCCCTGGAGCCTCGGACACGTCTGTCCCTCATCGCCGAAAGATGGCCTTCACATGCGAAGTATGAGGGCATAGCGGACGGGGAAGGGTTTTTTCCTCCGCAAAACATCTGGCCACCTCAGCATCAATGCCTGCAATACACGCTAGCGAAGCTGCGCTGGAGTCTGAAGCGTAAGAGAGAACAGACGGCCACCGATCCGCGGAGACACTGAATACCCCAAGCGAGCTGTCAAGAGCAGGCCGCGAAACGCCTGGGAAGCGGACGGGGAAAGGGGGAACCCACCGCCCTCTTACTGGTTGGGCCCCGCCCCTTCCTGAGCTCCTTCCGGGCCCTCCTGCCCCACTCGCCTGGGCCGCGTGGCGGGCCCTCATGCGCCGGGCCCCGCAGGAGCCCCACGAGGCCCCCAAGGGGCCCCACGAGGCGCCCTCAGGGAGGCCACGAGAGGGCCTCGAAAGGCCTCCTCCCTCCTCCGCCCCTCCTCCTCCTCCTCCTCCTCCTCCTCCTCCTCCTCTCTCCTCCTCCTCCTCCTCCTCCTCCTCCTCCTCCTCCTCCCTCCTCCTCCCCTCCTCCTCCTCTCTCCTCCCTCCCTCCTCCTCCTCCTCACTCCTCACTCCTCCTCCTCCTCCTCCTCTCCTCCCTCCTCCTCCTCCTCTCCTCCTCCTCCTCCTCCTCCTCCTCCTCCTCCTCCTCCTCCTCCTCCTCCTCCTCTTCCTCTTCTTCTTCGAGGGAGCACGGCAAGCGCACAAGAAGCGGGGCCTGCCGAGGTGGAGGACGACTGGGGGCCTTCCTCCTGGCCCCTAGGTCTCCGTCAAGACGACTTTTCTCCAGCCCGGACGTGTTTTCCATCGATTTCGGCCTCTGGGGCCCTCTTCGGGGGCGCCACAGAGGGGGCGTCCACGAGGGGGGGGTCGCAGAGCATGGCCCGAGGGATGTGCGCGGCCGAAGGGGAGCCCGAGGACTTCTTTGAGTAAGAGGAGAGCCAGGAAATCTGGGGAGATATCCTGATCCCCCGTATGATATCCCTCCCCAAGTCAGCGCCCACCTCTTGGCCGCCTCCGTCATTCCTCGAGGGCGAGAATGATGCCATAATAAAATTGGCTCAGGATGCGCTGCGATCCTAGATTTCCAAAGTATCTAGCGGCGCAACCGGCGTGGGAAATTGGGAAACGCGTGTGGGAAATCCTGGAAACCTAGGAAATCTTGGAACGCATCATTGTCATGACCTCTTGCCCCTCTGATCATCGGGCCCAAAGACCATCAAAAGTGGATCCGGCCGAAAAACTACCACCTGGGAAACGGTCAGGGCTCTGGAGGCGCAGCTCGGACAAAAAAGCGTTTCGGAGGATGTCTGGGCCGACCTCCTCCTCCTCCGCTCCGCTCCGCTCCGTGGGAACGCCAGTCAGTGCCTGAAGCGCCCCAATCAACACCGCGGGCCGCCACCGCGCGGGCCCGCTCACACCTTGGAGGTGGGTGGAGAACCCACCCCACGTCACGACTCCCAGATGGGGAGGCCCCAGCCGGGGAGGCCGAGGGGGGCCCACAGGAGGCCTGCGCAACCAGGGAGGGCAAGAAGAGGGGCACGGGCAGAGCCGGTCCCCCTGACGCGGCCTGCTTGTTTGTTGCCACGTTAGCTTCTTCTGGAGGCTGGGTCTCGGGCCTCGGGGCCGCCCCAAAAAATGGTACGGGGCGGAGGGCCAGCCCCATCCGACAAGCCGACGTGCCAGATGTCTGCAGCATCACCGTGCCCGCCTGCCCTGCTTCACTCCCCTCCCCACCCCCCCTTCCACCTCCCCTCTTGTCCACGCTCCCTCCCCTCCCTCTGGTGCGCCGAGGGGGAGAGGAGGAGGCGGAGGAGGAGGAGGAGGGGGAGGAGGAGGAGGATAATGAGGACGAGGAGGAGGAGTGATTATGATGATGATGATGATAATAATGATAATGATGATGATGAAGATGATGATGATGATGATGAAGATGGATGATGATGATGATGATGATGATGATGATGATGATGATGATGATGATGATGATGATGATGATGATGATGATGATGATGATGATGATGATGCTGATGCTGATGTGATGATGCTGATGCTGATGCTGCTGCTGATGCTGATGCTGATGATGATGATGATGATGTGATGCTGATGCTGATGCTGATGCTGATGCTGATGGATGATGATGATGATGATGATGATGATGATGATGATGATGATGATGATGATGATGATGATGATGATGATGATGATGATGATGGGGAGGAGGAGGAGGAGGAGGAGGAGGAGGAGGAGGAATGAGGAGGAGGAGGATGACGACGAGGAGGCCGGGAAGAGGGGGCATCATGGCCTGAGGCATGTGCGCGGACGAGTGGGGGACAGCGTATGTGCAAGAAGAAATAGAAGAAGACGGCCCGTAGAGAGAGCGGGGGTCCCCACCCTCTCCAGCGATTCGCCAGAAATCTGGGAGATGAGCTCAATGAGATCTTGGAAATCTGGCATCCCCAAAAAAGCAGAGGCGCAGCTGCTGGAGAGCACCCCGCGGCAACAGAGTCTCCGAGAAAACGCCCTCACACACAGTCCTCGCACCCCCTGCTGGACGCCCCCGCCTCCCCTTCCGCGCTATTCTCCCTGGTCCCCTCCCAAGCTCCGCGCTTGGCCCAGGCACTCCCCGGCACCCGCCCGCTGGCCCAGGCATTGCCCTCCGACTGGAGGGAGTTCCCGACGACTCGCCCCTCCTTCGCCCCCTCCTCCTCCTCCTCCTCCTCCTCCTCCTCCTCCTCCTCCTCCTCCTCCTGCTCTTCCTCCTCCTCCTCCTCGTCCTCCTGCTCTTCCTCCTGCTCTTCCTCCTGTCGTTCCTTCTTCCTGTCCAGTCTCTGCTGCTGCTCCTCCTCCTGGAGCCTCCTCAGCCTTGTCCTCCTTTCTCTCTCCCTGCCCCCCCCTCCTCCTCCTCGTACTCCTCCTCGTCCTCCTCATTCTCCTCCTCCTCCTCCTCCTTGTCCTCCTCCTCCTCCTACTCCTCCTCCTCCTCCTCTCCCACCCCCCCTTTCCAGCATCGTCATCGCCAAAAATCTTGGGGGATGGTGGGATGGACCGCATCGATTCTGGCGGGGCGGGCGGGCCAGGAGGCCCTCGGATGCTTCGGGTAAGCTATCAGATTCTCTTCTTCCTCTCCGCCCCTCTTCTCCTCCCTCTTCCCCCCCCGCCTCCCGCTCTTCTTCCCCATCTTCGTCGTCCATTTCGTTCCCATCGTATTCTTCCTCCTTTTCCTCCCCATCCTCCTCCCTTTCCACTCCCCACCTCCCCATCCTCTCCAATTCCCCTCCTTCCCTCCATTCACTCACCCAGCTGAGCCCTTCCGTTTCCCCTGCATGCCTGCGTCTGCCAATTCCTCCTCCACTGCTTCATGGCAAACCCGAATGGTTTCGGCTCGGGAGGGGCTCCAAAACATGTTGAGAACCACCTCGAAGAGCAACAGTGGAGCACTCTGCAAGAGGATGCTTGGAACGCTGGCGTCACCTCGAGCCCTCCCAGGACCCGCTCTGGCCATTCAGACAGGATCTTTGAGTAGGAGATCGACTACAAGATCGATGTATCCTCATCTCGTTGTTCTTCGAATCTGCAAAAACGACGTATAAAGTTCGCACATCTGCTAATGTTCGGTTTGTTCCCGTAGATACGACGAACAACTTTTTGAGGGTAAATCACTCGTGTAGTCGTCACCTACTCCACGTTTGAAAGACTCAGGGTCAGCCCTCGTCGTGGAACGCGCTCAAAGAACAGATAGACGGGCGCGCTGCGGAGTACGCTGGCCAGCGGAGCCTCTGAGGCACGCTACGGCACATCCTGTCCCTTGTGTTATGTAAGCTTCCCTCCCTCTCTCTCTTTCTCTCTTTCTCTTCATTTGTTGTGTTTCTCTCTCTCTCTCTTTCTCGTGCGCAATGTCCCCAGGAGTCTTGAGATGACGACGTTGGGCACCAGCGTCGCCACCATTCCACAAACACACAAGTCGCTGAGCAGCGCTAGAGCCCGCTGCCACTGTTTGCTTTGCTCGTTCGCGCTGGCATCAGTGCCTTGGCCGGTGGCGTTGGGCTTCAACCTTGTCTTCAACCTTTTCTTGATCAGCGAAACGGCCAGCTGGTAAATCTACTTGTTCTCGCACGCGCTGATCCCGGCGCCATAGCTGCATAAGGCTGGCAGCGCAAAACCAACATCTGGAAATACACACACCTCGAGGGCCCACAACTTGTGGCTTGCTCGCCTGTGTTCTTACATGTTTGCTCCAATGCTTACTCGTCAACTCGCTGTGGTATGCTTGCTGCTTCTGGTGTGGTTGTG